TAAGCCCAGACTGCCACCGTCATTTTGGATTTCCGCCTGGGTAGGTTTTGGTCACGTGCTAGGCAACGTATAATCAAGAAGAAGATAGAATTTAATTTCAGGCCTATTTATCAATTTTGTGGTGTATAACTTTCGCATTTTAGTACGTAATATTTGTTTTGAATCTTCAAATTGTCTTGAAACTTAAAAGAAAATCGTTCTTTAAAAATTCACTGAAAATAGGTAGCCAAAATTGTTTGTTTAGGTGTTATTTCGTGTTAACCTGTAATTTCGTCAGTCGCCGGCACCTTTTGTTGCTTCACACAGAAAAACCACACGATACGAAATGTAATGATCGATTTTGTCCCCAATCTCACGCCATAACAGAAAAAGCCTTTGAACACTTGTAAACTCCGCATCGGAGTAAGTGATATTTTTAATGAATGTTCGGATTGTTTTCAAGTTCAAAGATTGTAAATTACAATTTTATGAAAAACGAAGGTTGTTCTCTTATTTCAGTGTGAATCCTCTAGCCTCTCACGCCTGCCTGACGCTGGCGCCGCGTGTTGAAACTTAAACGAAAAAAAAATAAACTCTTTTAAGATTATCATTGGCTTCTTTTTCACCCCACCACTATTATTTCAGGGACCGCGCAGCAAGTTTTCGAGTGGGGGGGCTAAAGAAGAATGCGTGAAGGAAATTTTTTTGTTAAATTAGTTTTTGTTTAATTTATTTTTATTCTTGCAAAAAAGTGGGGGGGGAGGGGCTAAAGCCCCCACAGCCCCTCCCTCTGCGCGGTCCCTGCATTTAGCAACAAAGGTCGCCATTTCGTTTGTTTATTACTCGCCAAATACTATCAAATGCACTCAAAAGCCTAAAATTGAAAAAAAGTTTACAGGAATCGACCAATCGAGCGAGCGAGTGCCATTCTCCACATCACATCTACAACTCGCTCTTGCGCATGCAAGCAATTCACGAATTAAAAATGATTGTTCACTCGAGATCTCAACGTTGCAATACCGGTATCTCGCTGAGCCCAAGGCTGATAAATTGTTGCTTATTTCACGTTTCGGTTAGCCCAGCTCAAGTAATCACCTTGTGATTCCACAATCCCCTAGGGAAAGTTGCTTAAACTAGTTGGCGTTGGCAGGAGGCTCCTGGTTTTTATATTTTCCCAGTCTCCTTTGGTCTCGTCACGCAATGTTTCGTGACGATACCAAACAAGTCCGTTCCAGACTCCCACGGGCACACGCCGTGCGGTTCAATGATGTTACTGATATTGCTTATCTGCAAGATGAGTTTATCTTTATAACTTCCTGTGGGTTACCGTTGTTTTAGGCTGAAGAGCGAAGGATCCGTTGTCGTCAATGAGGTTAGTTTACAAAGAATTACGTGTACTCTGTCCACTTGCATGAATGTAACCGTATTTTCAAGCGTTTATTTGCAAATACCGTATAAACCGCTTTCGGCGTTGATGACTCCGGTAGCGTAGCTTGGGTCATGCACGGGTAAATCTGTTCAATACTTTTTTTCCGCGACAATGTTTTTGTTTGATAGAGCGATTGCGTTAGGGGACCATGGAAATTTTTAGTATTTGCCTGAAAAGGATTGTCTGAACTCGCTGCAGTCGTGTGTTTACGTGCGTCCTCTGTACGGGGTTATTCATTTTAGTTAAAGTAGGAAAAAGCAGAAGAACTAGCATCTGTCATAGTTTCTTTGAAGTGCTTCCAAAACCACACTGGAGACAAGAATTGCACGATTGGAGCAGGATCAGTAATTTTTTAAATTCAAACTGCGCACAAGTTGTGTTTACCAAACGCAACAACATGAACAATTTTAATTTACTCCCAAGCGAATCCTTACTAGTAAATATATTCATGCAATGACAACATGAGACAGATGTGCTTGAATATTATTTCCAGCTACATACACCTGCCAGCTTTTTCGTCCTCTCTCATTCGTGGCAGCTCAATTTCTCAAACTGATATTTCAGTATTCTATTGATTATATTGAATAAAACAGTTGCCACAATCCCTTATCTCAATTAAGTGCTGGTTGGGAGAAAATATATTTTATCATTGGCCAGAGTGGTAGGGCTACAAAGAGCAATATTAGAGTTAAGTATCTACCACACAAGTGAAAAGTGCTTTTTGCATTCACTGATTGGCTTTAGTTCAGAAGTGAGTAGCAAGTACCATTCACCTTTGAGAGTGTCATTTCTGACCATTTTTGGGTATGACTGCTATGACTGCTTAATTTTGGTTGACCTCTTAAGACAGGTTCCACAGAGTACCTGTAATATTAAAAAAAGAATAATAAAACCTCACTTCATATACCATAATCCACCACTTAATGATACAAAACTCCCTCAAAAATTGTAAGGTCAACTGAATTTCTTCACAGTAATGCCAAACTAAGAAAATCTTAACTCTTTCACTCCCATGGTCTCATCAGTAATCCTCTTTACTGTCTGCTATTTAATAGTTTTGATGTTAATGTCATGATCACTCCTAGGAGTTAAAGGTTAACTGTGGTTTTAGGGCCAGAAATTTAACCAGAACCAACCATAAAAAACATAAACAATAAACCTCAAAGTGTATCATAAGAAATCTTTAATATTCTGATCCTCAATGAAAATGAGAAACTTTGAAGTTTTGAATCCTCTTCTATTAACTACTTTCATTCAAATTTTTCATTCAAACCCTGTTAGAGTTATTCATTCCTTCTATTTTCTCACAACTTAAATTCATAGCCATCCTTAATAATAGCTTCATGATGCATGTTTTCACTGCAGGATTTATGATAAATTTTTATCAATTAAAATTTGTTTCAATTTATTCAGTCTCTCTCTTTCAATTTTAGGGAAAAAGTGTTATGATTGTTTCATTCATGTGAATATTAATTAACCTCTATTAAATATGAATCAAAACATAGATAACTGAGAGGCCTGGACTGGGTACAGTTTTTTTAAAGATTGAGCAATTTGTTCAGCATACAAGTCTTCAATTTAAGATTTAAATAGAGCCTATCCACCATGCTAATGCATTTTGATTGCAAAATTACTCTAGTATGTTAGTGCTTAGATATCTGTGCATGTGCTATCAGTAATCAAGCAGGCAAGCCAGCAAAAAGTTTATTTCTAGCCTCTAAGAAAGTTTTAGTTTCTGTCCTGCCCACACCATTGAAAGTTTTGATTGTCTCTTAATCTTGTTTATGTTTGAAATTTATTCCTAATTGCTGGACTGTTGGTCTAGCCAGTGTATTTGTCAAATATCTTTTATGTAATAGTCTACTGTGTTATTTCTGTCAATAGGATATACTGGTATATACATTTAATAAACTGTCTGGTTCCAAAACAAGCCTCTGTCTGTTGTGGTGTTTAGTGTTTCTGGAGCACAGAATAAGCAGGCAGTAAAATATAAATAGGCTTGTGCTTGGATGCAGTTTTGAGAATACAAAGAATAACAATTTTGTAGCATATGGTGTCGTTCCATGTCCAAAATATGAATTGACATGAAGAAATCTCAACAGAGATTTATTTACGGACAATATATGTAAACTTGGCTGTGTAGCCAACATGTGTTACATGAATACAAGACTGACAAGTGTGACAGCATGACAGTGGTTTCCAATAAAATGTTTAAATTTATTATCCCAATGATAAATATTTATCATGCATTTTACCATAGATGTAATTTCAATTATCTTCTGGGCATAACCTTCAAATGTCATATTCTCTGTTCTTTAAGTGTTCTTAGCTGACCCAACTGGCTGCAGCAGCTGTGCCACCATGGTCCATTACTAGGATGTGACTGACTAAATGCTACAGATTTTGTGAATTTTTTCAGCCCTAGTTTTACTCTGTTAATTTTGGGAAAATAAGAACATATACTAAACATAAGAAACTGAACCTTGAGCCTTGAGAAATTTTGAGAAGGTTTTGCAGTGATTAATTGTTTCTTAGGCAATTTTATTTTCCCAAAGGTACTCTTTTTCTCATGAGCAAGGCTTTTTTCTCAGAATCTGCTTTTAATTTCTTTTTTTCATGTTTTGTTATAGGAAAGTCTTTTCTTATAACTGGTTAGATGACTCATTCGTGCTATCATATTAAAAAATAAGATCTATGATTGTCTTAAAGCCCACAACTTATTAATTCAATGTAGGTGCCAAGAAGCAGCAATTCATAATTGATCTACTGTAGGTGTTTTGGATTATCCTGACCTTGGTGAGGGCCTTGTATTTATTTTTCAGCCTACACATTAAAAGGAGGTTAAGTATGGACCTTTGATATAAAAGTGGGTTTTTGTAATCGTGCAAACAAAACTCATTTTCACAAAGTTTTTTGCAGTTGGTCTCGTTTTGAAAGTGAGGTCTTGTACAACTCTTTTTTCGTCATGTGACCACCTTGTGTAGAGTCACATGCATTGTGTATATATTTGTGATCAAGGAGATCACGAGGGCAATAAACTATTTTCACAATGCTATGGTAGACTGGCTTCAGCCAGGTTTTTAAGCCTGATTGGAAGAAATCTAATACATGTCTTTGAAATTAAGTACAAGGTTGTGAAAAATGACTTTTTTTTTCTCCAGATGAACTCAGAGTAAGCCGTCATGACTGAGACTTGATGGACATTTCATGACTCAATCTTTGTTTTCCGCATAAGATGGCATCAGCTACTCCTTCACCTCTAACCAGTTCGGTAGAGAA